GTACCCCGCGGAGGAGCGGTGTCTCGGTCCCTGCCGATCATGTTCACGTTTCGGGATCATGGTGCCATCGTCCCTGGCACATACCCGCGCATTTTTTTTCCTTATTTCAAAATGTTATCGCTGTATGTCACTGTATTCTGACTTGAAAATGGGCATTTCTTGAGACACGTGAGAAAGCATTCCATCCCAAAATGGACACACCATTCCACTCAACTCCGAAATTTTATTATTTACCAACTGTGGTTTGTCCATTTATTTCGTCTTTTTCATGGCATATCTACGTGTTTAGTTGTAACAATCAGTTATCTGCATTTCGTCCTTCGAGTGAATCGTGTGATAACCGTGATCTATTATTGCATTTATCTCCTGTCTTATTCAGCCCCCTTCCACACCCCCATATATAGAGATAGATGGTTTGTCAGACTTCAGCCCTTCGCTGTTCAATGGTGCATGTCTTACCAAATGAAACTACTGTGGAGAACGCGAGTGATGTACTGGCTGTTGATAAACACCGCCTTACCAATATCCAATACCCTCTTCTCCCGAGCTACCCATATTAAAACACTGCTGGAATAGGGCACTTCATGGAGGTGGCGCCGTTCGAGGTGGGAGAAATGGGGTCGAATGCCGGGTCTCAGCCGACGAGGATGACCTTGTCCAATTTTCAGGGATGAGGTATTGTACGCGGCTTACGTGTAAATCAGACTGCTGGTCGAAGTTCGAAGCTAACCACTGAATACCTGTATATGCTGATATAGTGCACTGTAAGCAACTACGAATATTAGCTTCTGAAGTCACCTAAATTAGAACACTTAATTGTCAGGGGCCAGAAAACGGTTGATCTTGACCATATTCAACTTTTATTCTATTTAGCACTCAGGTTGATATAAATTGATTGACTTTACAATCCATGCACTGAAGCGGCATCATATTAAGGATTGCCTTCCACGGGAGGGAGACCCTAGTCTGAAAGGAGTTCTTCTGTGGGAATCTCAAGGGTTCAAAGGGATAATGACCCACATTTTGAACATACCAACTGCTGAAATGTTGGATTTCGTACCCATTCTTCTGATTCCTTAATCATTTTGCACCGGTTTTTTTGTTATTGAGATTTGATCTGCTATCGGTAGTCGATGTGTAGTCAGGAGATGGGTGTTGTTGCTTCAAGACGCGTTTCAATCAATTTGACTGAAGGGGCAAATGGTGAATCTAACGGTTGACCCACAACAATACTGCGCATCTTACGAACCTCTAGAAGGATTGGAATTCCGTGACCGCGTAGTCACTGTTTGAATATTATACAGTTCAGTCACGAACGGTTGATCAGCAGTGTGATTAGGCTATAATACCACTCATCCTTCAGTCACACGACTCATCGGGTCCCTGTGTGTCGACTGGCTCCTCAGGTGGTGGTTCTTCCTCCTTCCCAGCTACCTAGATCCGTTGATAGTATGGAGATATTTGGAACGATGACTATGAACAAAATACCTATCCCACAAAACCCGAAAACTGCAACCGAAAAAGTTGCCAAGTGGGTTTCAAGCGTGTGTCACGCTACCTGACTGGGAAGTCCTGACTGGTGGATCAATCGATCGTCACAACCAGGACAGTTACTGAGTCGTCGTTCGATGAGTCGGGCACACCAATCACATCGCTCAAGTGTGAGCACGTCCACCTCGTTACGACGAGTCAAGCTGACCCCCTTGTGGTTACTCCGCTCGATACGAGCCCCTTTTTTGAAAATTGGCATATCACCGACTCTTTCCAGTTGTCTAGGACAGACTCCTTGTATCAAATGCAAACAGATCAGAAAAGGTTTGACTTAGGACTTCATTCCCCTCTTTGAACAGTGTGGGTGGGAGGTCATCCGCACCGGATGCTTGAGAGAATATGTGCAATCGTAAACCTCCGAGGCCGCAGTTGGTTCCACGTTCGTCGTCCAGGGTTCTACTTCACCTGTTGGCTCTAGATTAGTGCCAGCTTGTGGCCACAATAGTTGTTGTTCGAAGTATTCAGCCCACCTGTCGACACATTCTTTATTTGAGATGGTCGTTCCATTCTGATGTTTGATGGTTTCACTCGGATGGTTTCCGTAGACCGGTAGTACGGATCAACTGAGATAACCTTCGGGCATTACCGGCTTTCTGGGCATTTTCCATCTCCTTGGCTTCCTGTGTCCACATTTCACGGTCGGCTTGTACGCTCACATTCACCTGATGTCTGATAATTCGTCACGTCAAGTGATGTTCCGGGCCGGTTGGGATATTTCTCCGAGATTTAAGCAATGCCACCGTTCGGTCTGATATCCAGCGACTGTGAGCGCCTGGTTGGGCCGTGCCAAAGGTGAAATTTCAAGTACTATGCAAAGAGGTGGCAATCTCGTCTCCGTATGAGGTCGCATCTGATGGTGGAGCATTTGGAAGGGATTGTGGAAGACGATTCGGGTAAGTTGATCTGGCATCCGGATCTACCGGTCTTTTAGTTGCCAGGCGATTTGTCGGCACCTTACGCGGTCCCAAAAAACGTAGAGAGAAGCGACTCCGGACGAGCGCCTGGTCAGAATCCACAAATGTGTTCCAAAATGACGGGCAGTCAGTTATTGATCCACGCCATCGGTAACTGATGGTAATGTGGTCGATTTGAGTTTGCGGCCAGCCTGACAATGGAAGACACCATGTGGCCAGACGACTTCGGCTATTTCGGAAGTTCATACTGCATAAAAACAGCCTGCAATCATCACCGTTGTCCGTACGTACCGAGTCCAATCCATATAAACCTCTTAATTGATTCTCAGCTTCACTAATCCTGCCCACTTGTGCATTCAAATCTCCGGCAACCACCACGTTGTCTGAGCTTTTAGCCCACCGTAGAAATGGTAATGCATTTGCATTTCCCGCCAAACACCGCTGCCTTGCGGTTAGGCTTTTGAGCCAAAGGCTTTGGTTGAGGACCCTAATCGTCCTCCTGTCTAGGTGTGGGCGCCCTGGCAGTATCCCAGCCCTCGTACAACCATGACCTACACAACTAACAATATTCTCATGCCACATCGGCCGTCGCGTGGTGCCATCAGCCGGGTCGCCTTACTTGCTGCATACAGCAGGGCGGGCAAGCGAAAACAGGCTACTGCTGACGCCTCCCTTCTCTCTCCTTCACATACTTTTTCTTCCCCCTCTCCCAACCCCACTGGTTCGTTGGTGGGCTCCAAGTAGTCAAGCGACTTCTACTCTTCCGAAAATTGGTGCTGCGAGGAAACAGTCTGTGGTCGGTACACAGCTGGAGCGGACGATCTCCGCTGTCCGTGCGTCTCGTGTCCACTCCAAGACGACAACACAACGGGGCCTCAGCAGCGCTTAGTCTACATAAGTCGGCGTTCATTCCAGCACTAAACACAACTATGTCTGAGCTTTTAGCTCGTTGTAAAAGAGCATCGGTGTTGAACACTGATGTCATGCTGTCGATGATGATTATGATGACCTAGAAATTCTCAAGAAGAGGGCGAGATGGCACATTGGTTAGGACGCGAATTTATTGACCGGAAGGTCCGTGATTCGAATCTGACCTCTGCGTCTCGACTTCTCCCGTCTAAGATTGGGCAACCTGGCAGTATCCCAGCCCTCGTGCTTCTTTCGGGTGGCATGGCAGCTAGCCACCGAAAGAGTGATACAGCTGAAAGATTTTTTCGTAGAAACTCTCTGGCCGATTCAGAGCTACGTGCCGATGGGGCGTAGGGAGACACAATAAACAGGTTGCGATGGACCTTACTTTCTCGAGATTCTCTCAGAGGCGAACCACGCAGAGAAAACTATAAACCGGTATCCAATGGAGTAGTCACGCTTCCGCTCGGTTACCCAATACAATACTCACCCCAACACATCCACCTGCTGTAGCCTCTGCATCACCAGAGGTTCGCAGACGGAACCTGGTAGTCAGTTTAATTACAGTACTTGCGTCCTGTATCTTTGTTTCTGACAGACAGCATACATCAATGCAGAGGCAATCCAGCATGCGAGCAAGAGCCATCCGTTGTGCTGCTTGTTTCAGCGAGCAAACACTAAAGGCGGCTAATTAGTTAAGCTAAGGGTTTTCAAACAAACTTCAAAGAGTTTGGGGTTGATATCGAAGTCGGAGGTAGAGAAGCTGCAGCTGAGTGTGATGCACGGTGAACAATGCGGTCAGTCCTAATGCTGGGACTGGATTCAAACTTGGAGGTAAAACTTTAAAGTGTAAGAAGGGAGGCGTCAGCAGTGGGCTGCTTTCGCTTGAGCGCCCTGGTGTGTATAGCAAGTAAAGCGACCCAGCCGGTGACACTGCGCGACGGCCGACGTGGCATGAGGGTAATGTTAGTTGTAAGTACGCTAGCCTGGATATTGCCAGGGCGTCCACATCTAGACGGGAGGGAGAACACGTGCTAACCGTACACCTGCAGCGCCAGGAAACTGTGTTGATGAGAACTGACCAACCTGATATGCGAGTGTCGAGCGGACACCTCCGAGTATAGCTCAATGGGTTGCGAATGCACATAAATCGTCAGACCAGTAGGGTCGATATGCGAGGAGCGGACACCTCCGAGTATAGCTCAATGGGTTGCGAATGCACATAAATCGTCAGACCAGTAGGGTCGTCTCTTTGTGATGGACCCATAGTAAAAGGGTCGAAAATTTTTTTGAAGTTTTGAGAAATATGCTCTTTGTTAGGCCACTGATATTATGAGGTTATGACATACAAACTTCGCGTTTTGAAACGGCGATTCATAGCTGCTAATGAGCAGCAACACACCCACACAGATGTGAATCAATAAGAACAAACTGACCTGTAAATTGACTGCTGCTTCCAGATCTTCTTCATCCGGCATTTTCGGTTTGCATTTGCCACAACAGAAGTTGAAGCAGCAGAAACAGCAACAGCAGAAGAAGCATCCAGTGAGAAGGAAGATGAACAAGAATAGAAGCTACAGTTGAGAGGAGGATAACGGTGAAACGACAGATACTAACTTTGCACCATTTATTTGTGAGGACAAAGTAGGTGTTCACATTCTCCTCCCCGAATTGCTCTGCTATAGACAGACCTACGCTACCATACTTGTCGTAGATGTTCCGTTTAATTGGATCGGCAAGCGTCCGGTAGGCACGGTTAATCTCCTTGAACTATTAAAAAATCAGTGTTTGCATAATCGGACTCACAATTTCCGAGGCAGCCGGATTGTTCGGATTCTTGTCCGGATGGAAGCGCAAAGCAAGCTTGAAGCGGGGTGAAGAGGTAAAAGCAAAAGTTATGCATACTTTCACGACGTAGTGCTCATTGTAAATAATATGTCTAGCAAGTACACAACCAGAGCTAACGATCTTCATCAATAGGGAATACTGGAGAATCATCAGGTGCTACACTGGAAACGAAGCTTGGGATTGAAGTGGAAGCCATCTTTTCTGGGTGGAGCGTGAAGAGGAAACTGCGAAATGAAACAGTACCATTTAAGTCGTCTTTCCAAGAGTTGTAAGTTGTACTAGATATCCCTATGAACAAAAAACTAAATCTTGGCAGGTTGCAGTGACTTTCAAAAGGCAAAGCGGTTCAAGCACGAGCTACTGAAGGAACGTGTAAGATCACTTATCTGTGAAAAAGGAAAATACAGTGCTCTGTCACCTTTCTAACAGGGCCTGTCCAGGGGTATGGCGGTGACTACTAGGGGCTCTCCCTAGTCTTATAACACAATTAAGTGGAATCCAGGTCAAGTTTTTAGTTTTTTGAAGACGACCATTATGCCCAATTCAGTTTCATACTATTCTATCCCATTCGAAATATAATTCTCACATAACATGGGCCCCTACTGGAGACATAAGAGTTCACTTTCATGCAAAATCTCACTAAAGCTGTAGTGGTTGGCATTTTTATGGCCTGAAAATCAGTCTGCTGTTCCCGTTATTCGCTGCTTCATTTTCCCTTAGGCCACTTCGTGATTGCCAGATTTATTATATCATGTCTGAGAAAATCGTCCGGATAGACCAGTTTTGGCATATTGGTCAAGTGCCATGACTGTGTTCGAACGTAGGAATAGTACGATTGACTAGCTTTCACCTAGCAGTCGTGCATGTCGATGAAATCCACAGTGTGTGTTCCAATGATAACAAGACTAGCCAAAATTGTTGGCATCTATATTTGAATTATCCTAACAATTTATTTGTATTTGTTAGACTGTCTGGAACCGGAGTTAGTGTTTTACACTGAAAGATGACGACGAAGAACTTGCTTACATTAAACTTGTGTGGAGCGCATCCAAACTGCGCAGCACGAAGTAGCTCAGAGGCAGTCAGGTGCAGGATACTCTACATTCGCCAGTGTGATTCAGAGTGCACGGACTGAAAAACACATGATATATTAACTTACCTTCAAAAAACAAGCATAGTCATTACAACCAACTAACCTTGTTACACTGCAAAGACATAGGTGATCAAATACTTAAAGACGCCTAAGGTATTCGGATTGGAGGGGTCAAGCCTCAACGATAAAGGAAGACCGCTCTCACAATTGACTTACGTATACACGGCCCTTCAACGAGATCAGTTTCTGACACCATGAATAACGAAAGTTGGCAAACGCTGCTCGTGCACTGATCACCCGCGCACTTCAACTATTACGGTGCAAACGAGGCCTACAAACCTGTAATATTGTGTGAACCGGTCAGCAAACTCAAGCTCTTCATTCCGAAGTTTCAGAGAATCGCAAGGGAATGGACACTTTGGAGACATTGTACTTGAGGGGTGCAACACATGCTGAAACTTGGGCAACTTGCGATAGTCTGTTCAAAGTACTTTGCGCGAACAAATAGACGTCAAAGAACAAAATGATGCCAACTGCATAATCAAGGTTCACTAATCTCTATCCAGAGGTAACTTCGATGCCTAGATTCGTAGCCCCTTAGAAAGTGCGGCCCATGGTGACGCCGATAACAAAACTGAACAGAAAGAAGAGGACTGACAACCCTGACGAATCCCGCTAGTTGACAGAAAGCTACTGGGCAGCTCGCTGTATAAACCAACCCGACTGGATGTATGAATACAGAGGTCGCGAAGAATGCTTACGAACTTCGATGGTATGGTATTCCTCTGTGGTCAACATTTAGAAGAGTGAATTTATTCACCCATATGAAGATTCCTTTTAAGTCTGAAGGAAATCACTACAGTTGTTCGGCGATACACGTACGCTGCTCAAGCACTTGACGTAATGCAAAGATATTATCAGTGCGGTCGAAATCCATTTTGGTGCTCTCGGAATTGCGTCTCATGTGCCGACGATAGGCGTTGCAGTATAATGGAAGCCAGTAGCCGTGTTGCGACAGGCGTGAGACTTATGATCCTGTGGTTAGAAAAGGAGGTTCTGGTATCTTTGTTGACCGATAGTGGGATCCAGTTATCTGGAACATGTTCTTGCTTCCAAATAAGTATGTGCAACCTAGTTGCTCTTCTTCATTTTCAAATAACGCCTGGGAAATTCCACCTAGTCCAATAGCCCGATGGCGCTTCAAGGCAGAAAGGCATATTAGCACTTCATCAAACGAAAGGATATGGCTCGAAAAGAGCAAGTCAAATGAAAGACAGATACAATGGTAGGTGGCCAATTACACTGCTGTTGAAACTACCCCGTCCAGTAATCTAGACGTTGGTCTTTAATATATCTTGGATTTCCAGTATTATATTTGATTGACTCACTAACAGAAGGGCTATTAGATTGTTTTGCGGACGAGCCAGAACAGCTTCCGGGCATTCCCAGCAACCGTTGGCCTCTTCCATTTTGTGAATTATCTTGTCCTACCGAGCCTCTCTGTCCACATAGAGGCTAGATTTGAAATGTTGTCTAATCGATCGTTTTGCTGAATTTCACTCTGAATCAGAAGAGGTAGACTGCCCGCATCAAGAAGTGACAGTGACTGTTCGAACCCGACCTCTACCTTTAGACTTCCCCAGCTTAGGATTGGGCAACCTGGTGGTAGCCCAGCTCTCGTGCTGCCTTCGGGTGGCATAACAGTTAGGCACCGAAAGGGTGTTTACAGCTGAACGAAAAACGTGACCGTTCCAGGATCTAGTAGTATGCATGCGCCAGCTCGGAAACATCTAAAGCAGGGCTCCAGGTGTCGCACATAACCATAGTTATATCATCCCAGTTACGATTGATATCCTCCGGTGAGGCCCACTCCATTGTAAAGTAGGTTTTATTACGCACCTCTAACTGTGGCTCACAAAGCTCAACCAGGCCTTGGTAGATGAAGGCGGCGGGGTCAATTCGACTTCACAGCTGCTCAACAGCTGTACAGGCCGGGTAGCACAAAGGCGACCACTGCATCTAAACCTAGCGCCGCTGAAAAACAATTGGTGGTCAGGACAAAGTTCCAAAGACGTAAACCATTATCATTTCCTTTTGCGTTCAGACGAAACGTACAACCAAAGTGTGCTTCTGCTGAACTAAGGCGCCCCACCTATGCGTTGAAACCTCCGGTTATCATGACTATATCAGGGCTCTTCGTTGTGGACAAGAAGGCGGTAAGCTCTGGACAGGCATCTAGCGAATCAGAGATACACTCGGTTGGTCACAAATAGACAAGAATAAAAAACTGCACCCAATATTTCGACCAGTGCGAGTTTTACAGAAAATTGGACAGCACATTCGGTTGTTCGCAGATATCCAGTCGAGCAATGAGGCCTCAGTTCACGAGCTTGGGACACGCTAGCACCGGCACTGCAGGATCACTCGAAGTCCTTAGTATATAGCGTATAGATGGAGTGTCGCAAGCTAAGAAACCGCGCTTGGGCTTCGTATTCGAGTTTCAGAGATGCAGCGAATGTCAGTCTGTAGAGTATTTAGAGTAAGCGCAAGAAAAGCTTGTGGATTGGTCTGCCTAGGAGTTCGCATGTCAAAGGCTGCAAGCAGGAATATGAGAACGAGGCCAGAATAGTGGATGTGGAGCGGTAGATTCGGGAGTTGGTGTACAATGTGTGGATCAGCTGCTCGCAGCCGAACGGTTAAGCGTTCAAACCACCAACTGAGAGGTGGTGGGTTCGAAGTTCCCTACAGGAGTTTCGTGAGATTCACACCGCTGATGATTTCGCATGAGGATGAAACAGCCATACAGTACTTCAGGATTTTTCAGCATAAACTGGCTTCCTTTACAGGAAACCTCAACTGAAAATTCTTAAACCCATTCACACAATCAGCTATTCCATAGGGGCCTGACTGACATGCCTACGGCTCAGAGCCACATGAGAATGACTGACAAGGGGAACAGGTCATGAGTTAAGAGATAACAGTGAAGAAAGAGGGAAGACGTCATCAGTCGCACCTTTTTCGCTCTGTTCTAGTGTATACAGTGGACGTGACTCAGATGGTGTTATCATGCGACGGCCGGTGCGGTACGAAGGCATTTTTATCCGGAAGATCATTGTCGTCCGTGGGCTAAAGGTGCCAACATCTAAAAAAGGATTAGGGCCCTTAACCAAGGCCTTTGACGCAAAAGCCCGACCGCAAGGTATCGGTTGTCGGCTCAAAACTACTCGAGTAACCTGAATCTCAAGAAACTTTGTGGCCGTACTGCAGCGAAGCACCAAAATCAACAATGATCATGTTATCTGTGATGGTGAAGTTGATGAAATTGCCATGTGTTCCGACCTCCAATCTGGAGAACCAGAAGACTGTGTTCGCCAGACCTCCATTCAGAACGGACTCTGTGGACGCTGCACGGCATACCCTAGTGCGGCTCAATGAGTTACATCACGTCACATCACGATAAGGTTCGGTCTCTTCGTTACGGAGTAATCAGCGTTTGAACGCTGGATGCAAAACTAGAAAGGTGCCAATATTATTCGCTACACACTCATCAAATGTTCGTTATAAAGAGCAACCAGTGCGCTCACTTAAGAGTCTGTCACACAAAGATGAATCGGAGTTGAACTCATAGTAATATGTCGACTCATTCATCCAGATTCACTAATCTGCACTGCGGACACACAATATACTGAAGCAACTCATCTGAATTTCCTGCTTCCGATCAAGTCACAATGTGATTCACTTGTAACTGTCTGCAGTCACTCTTGTCACTACTGAATTATTTTAATTTCTCAGGGCTCGAATGAATAAGGAATCTTAACACATCCTGGCACGTGATCAATACACGCCCAGAAAAGTAATGTGGATTTAATGAAGGAAGCTAAGTAAAGTGATAACACCGCCGAAATTCCAAACAAGATCCAAA